GAATATATATGTTCGTGTGTGTGCGTGCTTGTGCACGCGGATACCGATATGTGCGTATATCTATTAAACAGAGTCGATGAATGCATGATTAACTATACAAAACAGAAAGACAACCATCTTCCATCAAAATAACCCACCATCATAACTTGAATTTGATGCCACTATTTTAGTATTTTTTTTTTTTTGAAACAGCCAAAAGGAAAATTTATTGATAATGATCAAGCAAAAACATAGACAATTATCAATAAAAAAAATGCCCGAGTCCAACTAAGTTGGCATCGAGAAACAAAACAAAGAAAAGAAATCACCACCCACCCACAATTGGTAACACACCAACCCAAAGCACAAAGGAGAACTATATCAGTAGCCCAATACAATTTTACTCCCCAAACTGCATCTGATTTGGCTCAAATTGGTCAAGAAGTCCAGAATAGTGAAGTGAGAATCCTTAAATCTTTGATTCAGCCACATTGCAACTCTAATCTTAATCAAATCACAAACTTCCTCCAATTTAGGTGAAGCAGACTCAAAAATGCACTCATTTCTAAGTTTCCACAATGACCACAAAACTGCCAAGGGGATGACCTTCCAAATTAATTTTTCTTTTCTGCTCAATTGATCACAATTCCACCAATGAAGTACAGCTTCCACAAAATCTAGAAGAGCTCCTTGCATCTCCCACCAATTCAACATTGCAGTCCATACCTTCCATGAAAAATGGCAATGCAGCAGCACATGACAGATTGATTCAATCTCTACTTTATAAAAAACACGAAGGGCTAGAGCATTAGCTTGAAGCACTCCAATTTTCTGAAGAAATTCTGGTGACTTGACTCTGTTTTTCCAAGCTAACCAACAGAAGAATTGAACTTTTGGAGGTGCAAATCTGTTCCAGATTAACTTACAAGTATTAAGAGGCAGACCAAGGGAGGCAGCTTCACTTCTATAGACAGAGGAGACAGAAAACAGACCAGAATCTGCAGCCAACTAGACTGGTTTGTCTTCCAGATCATCACATAAACCAGAAACAAGTGGCAGAAGCACTTTGAGTCTGCTGACTTCTCTCTCTTCCCACTTGTACAGCCTTCTTCTAAATTGAAAGTTCCAATTCCCTGAAGCAATGCACCCTTCAATCCAACTCTTTTTTCCAAACTGAAGAATCCCTTTTTTGGCCGAATGTAGCTGATCCTCTCTTTACCTTTTGTTGTTGCCTTTCCTTTGCTTTTCAAGTCTACAGTCCTGCAATTTGTTCTAACGTCCTGTGTTTGGGAAACACTGGACTCTCTAATCACATGCCCAACACCAACTACTCTTTCCTTTACATGGGCTTCACACAATAGAGGCGCGCATGAAATTTCATTCAGTCCACCCAACTCATAGTTTGACTTTTTGTGGCCCAAAACCACTTCCAAATTTAGCTCAGTCATGTTTACACTTGAGCCACTCAAGCTTTTCATAAAACCAGACATGTAAACTTGTCGTTCAGCTGCCTTTGGGTCATTAAATGCACTGCAAACTGCCATCATTTCTTTGCATGCTTCTATCTCAAGCTCCTTACCCACCCTGCTGCATGACTCTGCCACTGCTGAAACACTCTTCCATAGTAACCCTTTGACAACCTCTACTACACTGTCATCCCCACATGTCTTCTTTCCTCTAGCCTTGATTTTGTACTGCTTAACTCCCTGAGCGGACTCACCTCCTAAACGTTGAGTTAACTCAACAATATGATTCTGAATAGACTCACCAGCTTTGATGGAGTCATCTTTCTCCCCAGTGCCTTTAACCTCATTTGAGCTATGATCCTTCTCCTCATCCTCTTGCTGTTTCTTATATCTGCAGCACTTGTCGATTGTTTTTGTTGCTACTACCTAATCTTCCAAGACTCTCACTGGGTGAGAAGACTGTTTAGTCTCCAGATTGATGACCTTATTAATAGGCTCTGCACTTGGTGATTATCCTAAGCTTACTACAATCGAAAGACTGAGAGACTTCTTCAGCACCTACAATAACTTCTCCCCATAAACTACCAATCTTAATTAGATTGGACCTATTCCATAGATGTAATGGAATGCCATAGCAACTAATCCATACTACTCTCTCCTATGCAAGAGCTAGCTCTGGCCTCCATTGGATGATGGCTTCACACCAATCTTCCTTTATATCTTTGATGGCCTTCATTTTTGCCTCCATTTCCTCCTTGGACGTGAATGATAACACCACATCTCTTCCTCTACCTTTCTTGACTTCAAACCCATCTATACCTCTTCCTTTAAGTTCAGTCTTTAGACAGACGTTAACATATCTGGCTTTTAGGCGTACTACAACACTGTCATAGAGCCATCCATTGTCTTACTCCTCTGCCTTGACTGTGACAGAGTCATTACCCACATCCTAAATGCCTTTGGCTGCTACTGCATATGTTTTCTTGCTAGTGCAAGGATATGAGTCACTCCGAATCACGCCCTTGGGGTTTGTCTGTTTTGATCTTTGAAAATGAATCTAACTGTGTCCTCTGTTTCTTTCAAACTTGGCTAATTTCACTCCTAATTTTATGTCATCTACCCATAAACCATGAGCTTTTTGCACTGCTACTTTTGCTGCCACTTCATAGCTGTATCTTACAAATCCAAATCTTGTGTTGGTGTTTCTTCTTCGCTTTTGCGGTATGAAGATATCTTTTACAACTCCAAACTTCTCAAAGAGATGAAACAAGCCTTTGGGATCCATGGAGCTAGGTAGGTTGTCCACGAACACCGTGACTATTACTGGACTGTCCGCCTTCCTCCTTGCTGCTTGCTTTCCTCTTTGCTTCACCACCGGAATCCATCCTCCTCGTTTGGAATCCATATTCTCTTCACCTAACAGCTTCGTGCCACTATTTTAGTATAATGTATATTTTAAAATCTTCTTCTCATAGCCATCCTTCTTGCCTTATTCAATCCTTCAATCAGAAACAAATTAGACAGGGCTTTCATCCCCTACAAATTAGATCATGAAGCTAAGTAGAGGGGTTATGAAAAAACCTTCCCCAAGAACACTAATAAATTCAAATGAATAACCATGGCAACATCTTGACTTACCATATAAGTTTCATTTTGATAATATGAAACACTCATTTTATCTTGTTTTATGTGGAGATAGTCCATAAAAAAAATCAAATTGATTTGACAATCATAACTATATAATTTTATTTTATTTATTTATTTATTTAAAAAATTAAAAAGCATGATGACATAACTAAAATTTTGAAAATAAATTATTCATTTTGAAATACAATGTAATAAAATTATAAGATAGGATTATCAGATTAATTTTTTTGAAAAAATAATTTACACATAAAATCTAACAAAATATACAATTCAAATCGAAACAAACCACTTGATGGGCTCCTTGGTGGTCTATAAGGCTCAACAGTACCGTGGACTTCGGAGATAAACCTAAATAATGCTTTCTTTTTTTCTTTTCTTTTTTCTGAAACAGTAGGCTTACATGAACTCAAAAATAAACATGATGAGCCATTTCGACAACGAAGAGAAGATTACTAGTGTGCAAAAAGAACGAATTTGTAACCATCTTTGTTATTCACATTTTGTAACTGGCTTGTATTTAATACAAGTTATAATATTTGTGAAGTTGATTATAACAAATATCATAACTGAATCATTTTAAGGTCGTAATTAAAATATAAAAAAAAAAAAGGTCATTAACATGGGATATAACCAAAGACCTTTTTGAATTATAACTAAAATAATCTCATAACTAACATCACAATGAGTCACAATTGATATCATAATATGTGTAACTAAATCATAATCAAGTCATAACTAATACTACAATAAACCATAATGAAATATCACAAATGTTATAATTGAGTGAGGAAATCCTATGGGGTGTATGCCATATGTACATTGTTACGTGTTTTTGTAGTATGTGTTATGTATTTTTGTAGTAATATTACATATTTTTTTGATAGAAGTTATGATAATCTGTAGTTGAAAAATGAAGTTACTTTTTTTGTGATAATGTTGCGCATTTTGTGATAGTGCTACATATTTTGTGGTTAGAAAAAGTTTAGATAAAATAATGTGTAATATTACCACAAAAATATATAACACCATCACCAAATGCGTAACTTTATTTCTGAATTATAAATTGTCATAATTCCTACTACAAAATATGTAATATTTATCACAAAAATACATAACAAATGCATATGATACACACCATTATAGTGTGTATCATAGTATTTTCATCCATGTAAATAACAAATTATTAATAAAAAGAGCCTAAGTGTTATATAAATTAAAATCATAAGGGAACTTACTATAATTATATCAAAATTGTAGAATTTGTTGTATTTTCATCAAACTTGAAGAGAAGTTATAATTTACACTTTTTTATTTAACAATTTTTAATACTTCTAAAATAAAATAAAAGAGAAATGTCCCATCTCTCATTCTATCACTTCCAATTACATCTTAAGTGAAATGTCAAACAATATCAATCAATTAACATTCTTCAAACTCTTGGCTCTCATTTTAAAATTGCTTGTTACCTTATTTATTGAAAATATAATTAAAGGTGATAAAACAAAATAATAGAAGCTTCGACTACTGCTCCTTCATAAATCGCTCTGACATTTCACGCGAGGAAGCTTCGACGACTCAAGGACCGTGCTGTCGACTTTTAGTTTTATGCAATTTTATTTCATATCCAAGAATTCATTACGAGAACTCGGGGAGGTTAAGTTGGTTGTTATTGTCAAAATTAAACTGCATATGAAAATCTCTATCTCATTTGACATTTTCAAACTAACCTACCAATACAGGGAATTGAAAGCTTCAATTTCAAACCATACATTTCATTCATTGAGACAACATTATTATACTGATTTTTCATCCCAAGCCACCCTCTTCACAAGGTTATATATATATATATATATAAGTGGAAGCTTCTATTAAGAAAATTTCAATGCACAAATCCATATATAAATTAACAATCCCCCACAGAATACAACACCGCCATATCCCAGTTTCACTCTTTCTTTCTTTGTTTCTCTCTCTGAAAGTTGAAACAGATGGCGGCTTCCCACAGTTTCATGGCTTTTGTAGCTTTTATCCTTGCTGCTGTTGTGCTTCCTATGAGTGCTAGAGCATCTGATGGCATCGCACCTGCTCTCGCTCCTTACGTTGGTAAGTAGTCTCTCTTTACGTGCTAATCTAATGATTAATAATTGCCTTTTGCAGATAAAAAAATAATAAAGTAATGCTAACAATTCTAAATATTTTATCAAATTTTTTATCAAATATTTCACAGGTGTGTGATTCATACCAAATCTTTTATTAAATATTTTACTAAATTTCTCACATAAGTCCAGACAATATAAGTCTCACATCTATGTGAAATATTTGATAAAACATCTCTCTCTGAAAGTTGAAACAGATGGCGGCTTCCCACAGTTTCATGGCTTTTGTAGCTTTTATCCTTGCTGCTGTTGTGCTTCCTATCAGTGCTAGAGCATCTGATGGCATCGCACCTGCTCTCGCTCCTTACGTTGGTAAGTAGTCTCTCTTTACGTGCTAATCTAATGATTAATAATTGCCTTTTGCAGATAAAAAAATAATAAAGTAATGCTAACAATTCTAAATATTTTATCAAATTTTTTATCAAATATTTCACAGGTGTGTGATTCATACCAAATCTTTTATTAAATATTTTACTAAATTTCTCGCATAAGTCTAGACAATATAAGTCTCACACCTATGTGAAATATTTAATAAAACATTTGATAAAATATTTAACTCCCTAACATTTTTCAAAATAATAATAATCTCTCTCTCTCATGAATGTGAATGCATGTGTATACACAGACAATATATGCAATGACGTGGAATGTGGAAAAGGAAATTGCACTGTAGCACTTAACAGCACATTCAACTTCAAATGCGAATGTGAAAATGGTTGGAAGCGTACCCGTTTTGACAGTGAACAGGATCTTCAGTTTCTTCCCTGCGTTATTCCTAATTGTAATTTACCCTCTCTTCTCTTCTCTTTCTTCATTTTTCTACTTCTCTCTTCTTTCTCTCTTATAATTCTCTTCTAAACAAATACAATATCTATCTAAAAAGTTTTCAAACTTTCAACTATCAAGTTACTTTAGGTTGTATTTGAATTTTGACAAAAAAATAAAAATAAAAATAGTGCATGAAGGAAAAAAAAATTAAGCAGAAATTGAATTTTTTTTCAATTTCTATTTTCTTTTTTGTCTCTGTAAATCTTTTACAAAATCAAAACTCAAATATAATATTACTATTGACTTATCTTAAACAAAATATAAAAATAGTAGAAAATGCTTAACAGTCACAGCAACACAACTTTTCAGCAATCTCCCAAAATATACAATAAATTCATCTTAATGAAACAGTAGTTGGTGTTCATATACATACAAATATTATAGGCGCAGTTTAGTGATGGAATTAATAATGGTCTGATTTTGGTTGGTGGTTGCAGGTACTCTTGACTACTCGTGCATGCCAGCGGCTCCTCCATCTCCATCCGTTCCGTTAAATTCATCTGTATTTGATCGTAATCATCCTTACTCACACTATACCCTCTCTACCCTTACCGTCAATATCATTTAATTTTCCTTTTATTTCTGGATATAATCTGGTTACCTTAATTAATATTAATAATATGATTATGGGTTTTGTAGCTTGTTATTTTGTCTATTGTGGAGAAGGAACATGCACGAAGAACAAAACAATGACACATACTTGCCAATGCAACCCTGGTTACTCTAATCTTCTCAACATCACTGCCTTTCCCTGCTACAGTGACTGTAAGAATTAATCTATGCCCTCAAAACTCTCTTCTATTTTGATTCTACATGTACATGTACATGTATATGTCGATATTATTGAAAATGTCTATGAACACAAAAGTTGATTAATGAGAAAGGATTGTGTCTGATTCGGTTACTCTAATCTTCTCAACATCACTGCCTTCCCCTGCTACAGTGACTGTAAGAATTAATCTATGCCCTCAAAACTCTCTTCTATTTTGATTCTACATGTACATGTACATGTATATGTCGATATTATTGAAAATGTCTATGAACACAAAAGTCAATTAATGAGAAAGGATTGTGTCTGATTCGGTGATTGATTTTTGCTCAAATAAAATAACTGGATAATATTTCTACATATGCAAAATTTAACTACCCACCACCGACCTTTTGTTCTTTTTTATGGTGAAAGCGAACTTTAACCAATGATTTTGTGGCTCCTAATATTTGTTTTTGTATCTCGGTTTTTATTTAGGTGCCCTTGGTTCTGACTGTGAAAAGCTTGGAATTAAGGTTTCAAACTCAACGTCTTCAAGCAATAGCAATCAAGGTGAGATGACCATTCAAATCACTCCTAACTTCTAAGCCCTTCTTTCCAGTTTTGTTTTGTTTTGTGTTTTTTTTTTTCTTGTTGGTCTGCAACCAATTAGGCTAGCCTAATTGGCTATATGATTCTCTATTGGTTGAGAAATTTAAAAAGAGATTTAGAAAGAAAAAAAGAAATTGCATGTCAAATATGAATAAAATATACTTGTATTTCACTTAATTTCACACATCTTTTTCTTTTTTCTTTCCAAATCCCTTCTCAAATCTCTCAACCAAATATAACATTAAGGACTTAGGTCTCGTTTGGGAACAGGTTAATTTAGTAACTTTTTGACTATTTGGCTAAAATATGAGCTAAAAAAAAACTAATATGTTTGGGATGACTTTTTGACTTTTTACGAAAAGATGTGCAAAAAGTAGAGAAAAAAAAGAATTTTTAACTTTTTGATATGGATTGTTGACTTTTTAGATTTTTTAGTAAATATTTGACTTTTTGGCTAAACCGGTCTCTTCCCAAACGAGGCCTTAGTCCAAAAAAAGTTAGGGATTCAATAAAGTAAATGGTTTAATATCCATTCTATTTCATAGATGAAATAGAATTTTTCATTTTATTTGATGAGGTTACCCAATACATCATCAATTTAAAATCAACTATCTATAAGTGAACATTTTCATAATTTTTTTCTTTTTAACATGAATTTATCAATGTGAATTTTTCACAAATTGTTAATTATAAAATAAAGAAATTGATTGCATCTATGAAAGGCGTTTATGGTACACTTGATAGCACCAGGTTTTTGAATCCTTAGGCTGGACTAAGAAAGTCATTAATATATTTAATATTAAAACATATTTTCGTAAGCCGTTAGGTGTCTCTTTATAGATGATGAAATTCACAAAACTCACATTTTAATTATGAAAAATAATACATAAATTCATTTTTTTAACTTACTTTCTAAACTCAATAATGTGTAAGTAAAATAATTAATTGATAATTACAGGAGATATGAGAGAGAGAGATATCTTAGATATTTTAATAGATTGTCACATCAATACATTTGAAAAGTTATTCTAGGTTTAAATAGCATTACCCTTTTATTATATGAGAATTAAAGAAGATGATATTTTACATGGACTAATTATTGCATGTCAAGACTTTTGTTTATTTTTTAATTTTTGAATCTCATTTCAACACACTACTTTAAATCTTTAAGGGCATGTTTGATAATCAAATAAGGGAGCATGTTTAATTATTCATCCATCGATCTGTTCCCTGTATTTTGTATCATCCATGTTTGAATATTCATCCATCGCTCTATTACTTGTGTTTGTCTCTCATCAGCCATATATGAATATTCATGGATTGATCTATTAATTAATTGTGATTGTCTCTCATAATCCTTTGTTTTGTTGTGGGCGTAGGTTCCTCATTTCTGCCAGGAACATTCCATTGGATAGCTATCTCTCTCATGTCCATCGCGATGGTTATGTGGAAGTAGATCATTGGCTTTTAGTTCACCACTCCTCTCACTCCACTTGGGATTTCATTATACTCTGTAATATTATATCATTGTTATACTTTCATTTTTCTGTCAAATTTGTCTGTAAAAATTAATTTTTAAAAAAATCAGTTTGTAATTTTGTATGAATAATAAGAAATCGCAGGTATAGGGAGAGGGTGAGAGAATTGTTTGTTACATAGACTTTGAATAATAAATACGGGGATTATATCACCATTTTCTTTTTATTTTATGTATACATTGCTTTTTAGTGGGTTCTAATCAAGTACTAATTTACAAATTACAACTTCAAACTTGGTGTGGCGGTCAATGGACTTAGCAGAAAACTAATTCTTTAATTCAGACATCCCTTTATACAAGAGGCAAGTGTAACAATCAATAACATAACTCATTTTTATATTTTATTTGGATAAAATTTGAAAAGGAAAAATAAATTTGAAAAAAAAAATAGTTTGAGAGGTTTTGAAAATCAGACTCGCTGGTTGAACCGAAAACCGAACTTAGTTCCGGTCCGAACCACCCCACTTAGCCATTTCAATTTAACTGATGCCACAAATGTTTTTTAATTTTATTTTATTTTATTTTTTTAGCAAAAGAAAATTTTATTGATAAAATCAAGCATATAAGCATGTAAACATCAAGAAAAAGGGAGTGCAAAAAATATCAAAGCTAAACTCAATCATCCCAACTAAGTTTACTAATACTATACCAAAAGCTAATAAGGCACCAATTACAGAACAACCAAAAAGACAAAGCCACAAAATAAGCACTAATAAAACCAAACACAAATTTCACCACACAACAATAGCCTCATATTCAAATCCCACTTAATTCACCACTCATTAGACACCATTCACCGCAACAGCAAATAATAAACCACACCAAGCTCACCTTGGCAATAGTAACATCAGAAGCATATCAAAAGCATAGCAGCCCCAACTTAAATCTTCAGCAGCACCAAACAATCAATAGAACCATTTGTGCAATAATGAATTGAGACACATCCTTCTGGAAGACCTTAGTGCAGAGCCCAACAGCAGCACCTATCTTCAGCCCCTTTAGATACGCAATGAAAGATCTTGCCAACCGTAAAAAATGCTATTTCTGGATACCCCCTCAGCTCAGATTTCGCACTAGCCCAAAATACGACACGGTGCCTGATTAAATCAACCAACTCTCCCCAATCTGGTTGCACATTATTAAACATGCATTTGTTCCTTAAGCCCAGACTAACCATATAACTGCAAATGGGATTACTTCCCAGATCACCTTCTTTGCTTTTTTATACTTCCAGCTTTGCCACCATTCCAATATACTGCTGACCGACCCTGGAACCACCCAAATCATTCCCCGCCATTTTAAGATTTCAATGCATACTTTCCAAACCTTACCACACCAGATCAGAACATGCTCAATTGATTCAATAGCACCGCCATAGAACTTCCACATCGCATTCTCCTGATTAGAAATAATCCCAATCCTCATAAGTCAATTTGCCGATTTGATCCTCCCACACCTGTTATTTTATAATTTTAAAATTGTATTTAATTTAATTTATTTTCTTTGATATTTGTATCTTTTTAGGAATAAACTGATAACGTTACATTAGTTTTCTAGTCTTAGGGTTATCCTACAATATCTCCCAAATATCTAAATTATAATTATTTAATTGTGTATATGATAAGACTTTAACATTGTTTTTTGAACAGACAAAAAAAAAAAGTCTTTCTTCTCCTCTTCTTCTGCTTTGTTATTTATTTTGTGAGTTTACAAGTGAGTGTTGGGCAATTTAAGGTTCATGAATTCACTTTGTTGCACACATGTGATTTCAAAGGTCATATCTAGAAGAAGGAACACCATTCAACTCGGTGAGAAGAAAGTGTATCGTTTCTAAGGAGAGCACAATCTGTGTGCCTCGACCACCATTCAGGCTTTTCTAAACTTTCTCTCTAATAATAATATTTATTTGTTGTTTTTGGTTTATTATTAGTTTGGTAATTTTATTCTAATAGTAAATCTTGTTTAATTTTTTAACAATCCTGATACTCCCTCTGTCCCAAAATAATGGTCCCTTTTGGGGAATCCAACTTTTTTTGGTTGTACAATTATTGCATTTGAAAAAAGTTGATTTTTCAAAATTACCCTTTTGAAAGTACATTTTTTGAGAATATCAATGTCATAATTGTACTTTTTATATTGTTTACTAATTTAAAAGAAGGGCAAAATAAGAAATTTATATTATTTTTGTACTTGATTTTTGAAGAAGGACTAATAATTTGGGACAATGAAAAATGGAATAAGGGACTAATATTTTGGGACGGATGGAGTAATTAGAAGTTTCTGTTAGAAGTTGTTGCATTGATTATAATTTTATTTTTATTTTTTTAAAAAAAAAATTATGGGATTTAATGAAACCAATTCCTGCAAGCCTGAGAAGCTTAATGGTCAAAATTTTAGATGTCGGCAACAACAAATGAAATTTTGGTCAACCATTTTGGGTCTTTATTCAGTAATTCATAAAGCTATTTGTTTCAAAAGGAAAAGAAAATGTTTTTGAAAAAGTAAAGGATTCTAAAAAAAGCGAAACTTCTAAGGCTGTAGAAAGTGTTGAGACGGATAAGGATTCAACTTCGTCCAAAAAATCTGATAATGATGATTTTGATGAAAAAAATTATCTTTGTTATGGTAGGATTTTAAGTGATGTATTTCCTTCCATCTATAATATTTTTTGCAGTACAAAAGCTTCTATTGAATTATGGGAAGCACTTGATTTTAAATATTGGTCTGAAGATACTGGTCTTAAACGTTACTGTGTTGAAATTTTTTTAGACTTTCATATGATTGATGGTAAATTGGTTATGGAACAAGTGCATGAATTTCAAAATATTTTGTATGATCTGAAAAGAAAATGAGTAGATTTATCTGATTTTTTTTGGTTGCTTCACTGATTAAAAAATTACCTCCATCTTGGTCAGAATTTGGTAGAATGATAAAACAAAAACATGATGGTTATACCTTTGATGAATTGTTAGTATCCCAAAATATTGAGGAAAAACATCGTGAAAAACAAGTTGAGTTTTTAAATTCTGATTTTCGAGCCAAGGCACATTTTGTAGAAAATCTTAAACCTAAACCTTAACCTTTTAATTTCAAGAATAATGGTGCACACAAGAATGGGAATAACAATCTTAATAATAAATTAAAAGGCAAAATTATTATTCAGAGAAAAATAGTGCCTTGTTGGGTGTGTGGGAAGACTAATCACACTGTTAGAGATTGTTATCATCGGAAAAGTCAAACCCATAATGTAATAACCCGACCCTCGTACATGATTCTGGTATCTTTTCAGCCCTCTATTCTGTGCTTTTGAATGCTTAGTGTGAAACTCTATGTGAAATTACGTTGAATTAAGTGAAACTTGGAAATATGGCTTCTTATCTGTTGGATAAGAAAATTATCTGTCGCACTTAAACTATTTGAATCCGAAATTGGACGCCTTAGAGACTTAATTTTCTGAAATTGATTTGACATCTGAAATCTGCATGATTTTTAAGCTATAATGAGATTTTCTATGTAATTTCAATTTGGAATGATTAAACGATTGAATTTCGTCTTATTATAAACATATATTAAGTCTTTAGGCATCTTTGACTTAGAAGCTCCATGAATATCTCCTGGAGGAAAAACTAGAGAAGGGTTTTGAGAAGTGGGGAAAGACAAGATCATCAAGAAGGTAGAGAATTGAAAATTTGAGGGGGCATTTAGGGAGTGAAGCTTAAGGTAAGTTCAATTTCTCTAATTCCATCCTTTCTTTTTAATTTGGAGAAGGAATTGCTTAATATGGTGTAACCTGGAGTTGTAATGGAAAATTGGATGGGTGTGTTGATCTATTGGCAAAAATAATGCTACTATTTGATGATTTTAACTTAATATGGGTCATCTAAGAAGAAATCTACAACTTATGTCTTCAATTACCATGTTGATACTTGAGTAAACATATGGCTATACATGTGTATATGTGTATGGGATAGAAATAGATTGTGGTGGTGAATAATTGAAGTAAATCAACTCCATGTTCAAGTGGTTGTGTTTATAGTCTTGTTTACCTAATTTTTTAACCATGTTTTGGTATGTAAAGAAGCTATTTTGGACCTCTTGGATGATCACCAAAGAAGGGGATTTGTATGATTTTCGGATTGCCAAACAGGGGCCAGACCGCACGTGCGGAGGTCGTGGCCGTACGTATGGAGAAGAGGAAAAAAATTGGGGAAGCATACTGTTTTTGGCCGCTCGAATGGTAGAGGGGCACCGCACGTACGGTACATGTCCGCACAAGCGGAGGGTATGGCCGCACGTGCGGCCCAGGTCGAAAACCTCGTTCGCTCCGTTTTACGTGCTTAACCCTCAACTCTTTTTGGAATTTGTGTTTGATACTTTTTGATGATTGTACATGCAATTGAAATGTAATAACACAATAAATGGTTTAAAAAGGGGAAAGAAACTAATGTGTGTTACCTATGTCTGTAGGACACACCACAGGAGGAACCACCGCTCCACAACAACACTGTGAGTAATAGTACACTGAATGCATACTTATTTACTGTTAATATCCGTTATTACCATTCTGTTTTCTGTTAGTCACAACATTAACATATGTATTGATTGGAACTTGGTGGCAATGTAAGGTTGACAGAATTATGTACATTTCTGATATTTCTGGGCCGAAAGGCTGTTCAGTATATTTCTGGGCCGAAAGGCTATTCAGTATATTTCTGGGCCGAAAGGCTGTTCTGTATATGTCTAGGCCGAAAGGCTGTTTTGTATATGTCTGGGCCGAAAGGCTATTCTGTATACTTCTGGACTGAAAGGCTGTTATGTATTTCTGGGCCAGTAGGCCGTTCTGTTATAACTAGGGCCAAGGCCGTTCTAAAAATATAAAATATAACAGCATCAAACTAATT